TTACATATATGCACTACAAATTTACAATACGTAAAACCAAGTTTTACCTCGTAGCTTATGGCCTCATAACGGCCCAAACTCTGACAGAGTTTAATCTCACGACCTTGAAACGGTCTAAACTTTCATTTTACGGCCTCAAACAACCTGAAACTCTGATCAAGTTTCACCTAGCGACCTCCAAACGGTCAAAACTCTCACGGAGTCTCACGTAGCTCGCAGCTCGCTATACACGACTTTATTGAAGAAAGTCCACATAGCTCACTATTTGCAGTTCGTTACACATAAACCGATCTCCTAAAACGATCAAGTAGTTCGCAGTTCATAGTTCACTGTACACGACTTTACCAAACAAGTCTAAACAACTCACACTGCAGCTAACAAAGTCTAAACAGCTCAACACTGAGTCCAGCCACTATCCTTACATACTCAAACAAGTTGTAAGAATGTATGTAACCAAATTTTTGTGAATAAAAACCCTTGTTCCAAAACTTTTATTTTGGATCTCTTAAAACGATCTCACAGCTCGAGGCTCTAAGCCCGCTAAGTAACGATTGCGCCGAACAATCTCAACTTAGTTCGCTGCTCGCTTTAGGTAACTTATAATCGACCTCTTAAAATGGTCTCATAACTTATAGTTCGTAGCTCACTGATTAATGAAGATGTTAAACAAAGCTTCAACAAACCCGCTATTCGCAGTAAGTTATCATTAAATGATCTATTCAAACGATCACCAAGCTCGTAGCTCGCTGAGTAACTTAGCGCTTACAAAATAAATTTACTATCACAGTTCGTTACTTGCTACCCCACACCATTACGCGATCTCTCCAAAACGATCATATGGTTATCAGTTCAGCACATTTTTAACAAGGAATAGTCATAACCCCTTGTTCAAAATTCTAAGTATTAACCCATAATCAATTATCAGATGCTCCACAGTTCAAACAGACTAAAAGAGTAAACAAGCTCGAACAATAGTCGCAAAAAAATCAAGAAAGCAAGGAAGCAAATAAAAACTTAGGTCCCCTCTGGGCCAAAAGATTTAAAATAGCATACAGTTAAAACCCTTCCGGGTACCAAAGTGCAACCAAAAGAAAAAAAACAATGATGAAAAGTAAAGAGTTCAACAGCCAAAAAAGAAGAGAATCATATTTCTTCAAAAGCATTTCTCGCCCTTCAACCTCGATATCTCACTTAAAGGGCTGGGGGGCAATTGTTGGTATTGGATTTAGCACTAAATCCTTCCCACAAAAGTATAACTAAAAGCATATGTTGAAACTAACATAAAAGACTCATTAGTCCTAATAAAATGCGTACTGCGAGCTACGAGCTCTTGGTGTACTGCGAGCTACGAGCTCTTGGTGTACGATGGACTGCGAGCTCGAGCTACGACCTGGAGCTACAAGCTGTTAGTCTAGCACCCCGAGATTCACGGAGTTCGATAGAGAAGATTTGAACAAGTCAATCGTTATCCTTGAAGATCCCAAGATATTCGGAGCACGTTAGCCCGAAATACGCGGAGTAGTTAAGCATGCTAACCCGGAGATCGCGGAGCAGTAAAGTCTATCTGTCCGGAGATCGCGGAGCGCTCCAGTACGACTCATGCTATAAAGAGACTGGAGTTTTAGGTTTAACAGAATTCATTATTCACTATTTTACTCATTTGAGACTTTGTACGCTCTTGAAGCTCTCTCTAAACACCTTGTAAATACATATATTCATCAATATAAATCCAATTCGTCGAATCTTGTCTTATTTAAATCGTTGTGCTTATTTCGAGATTCTTGCCCATACAAATCACTCCAAATTATTGAGTGTGGATTTTAGGATTCACAGATACCTTATTTTTTTGAATTGAGATTCACAGATACCTTAGAGCACCTCCAACGGTGTATCAAGAGAGGTTCATGGGTGGGGTTCACAGATACCTTATTTTTTTTTTCATGCGTGTCTCTCTCTTCCCCGAGACAAATTTTCTTCTTCATTTTCTTTCTTCCCAAAATTTTTCCCCGATACTTCTTCTCTGCATGCGATTTTTCCATCGGCGATTTCTGAGACATCGAATACCAAATTCAGACCGCCATCTTCATCTGCTTCGTTAAGGTTAGTGCTTATCATATCGAAAGTGATTTCTGATGTTAATTTCTGCGATTGGGTTTGCGAAATTAGGGTTTTTTTTTATTTGGGGAAAAATTTTGAGGTTCGATTTTTGATTTAAATTAGGGTTACAGTGTGAATCCGACTAACAATACTCTTGTTTGGGGTACTCTATCGTAAATCACGTCATCTGATTTAGGGATTTAAGAAAATTTTTATCAAGTTTTCTGGGTTTGATATAGTGTTCGATTCATCTGTTTTCTGGGTTGGATCGATTCATCTGGGTTGGATCGATTCATCTGTTGTTTGTTCTGTGAATGACTTATGATTTCCTTTGTTTTATTCTGCGATTGTTTGGTGTTAGTTTGTTTGATGTGCGATGGTTAGATGTGAGAATGTTTTTGATGTGCGACTGTATTGATTGTTTGATGTGTCATTTATGAGTTTGTGAGATTATGAATTCGTTTGTTTGTTCATCACCACACATGAACACCTCTTGTTCGATTGTTAGATATGAGTATCTTTGTTTGTGAGATGGTTTGATTCTCCTGATCCTCTAATGCGTTTGAATTTGTTTGTTTGAGAGTTGTGTCTTGTGCAGATAATGCCATCTATCTATAGTGATACGTCATCTGAAGGACCAGAGGAGGACTTGCAATGGGCATATGATGACGCGACTTATGGAATTCAGGAAAAGTGCTGGTGTGGTCGGGTCTTGAAGGTGGAAACGTGTACTGCTGAAGGTAGTCATGGGCGAAAGTACTTAACTTGCCCTGACCGACTAAAAGAGGTAATGTTTTACTTGACTTGAATCAATACTGTCATTGCTGAATGTGTGTATGTATTATATATTGGTTCATAACATAACTATTGTATTGTAGGGGAGTGGAGTGCATTTGTTCCAATGGTGGGATGATGGTGTTATCGAGCAACTTGGGATTCTCGAGAGGCAGGTGAAATATCAAAAGGAACAGATGCTTACGCTAGAGACTGATATCAAGGGAGAGGTTCGAGGTCTTCGAGGAGAGGTAACGAGGCTGAAGGAGGAGGTACGAGTTCTTCGAGGACAGTTAACGAGGCTCAACCAGACGTCATTTCATAAATGAATAAAGGTTAGTCCGTTTTCTAACCTTTAGTTAGGTTATGTAGTTAAGTGATGTGTGTATTTAGTTAGTTTTTTTGAGCTGGTTAAGGTCTTTGTTAAAGTGATTTGATTGTTAGGTGGAGAGTTAAGGTCTTTGTTACCAATTCTTGGTAGGTTTAGGGAGATAAAGCACATTCATTGATTGCTTTACAAAAACAGTTCAACTTTTAAATCTTTTAAATCCAGCTTTGTAAGACTTTCTATTTTAAACGCTATCTATTTTAAAAGATTTCTAAAACGTTAACCTAAACCCAAAACCATAAGCCCCTTCTTTGTAAACAACAAAATGGATTCTCCTATTCCATTTTCTAACTCTCACGGCTTCGTCAATCTTCTAACTAGCCAACAACAAGAAAACCCAAACCCATTTACTTACCCGCACGTAATAGACCTTGGATCATCAGAAACCTTCCCTCGGTTTAGTAGTCAAGGGTCTGATGATCCAACCACACCTGGTGAATCGAGTAAGCAGCCAAGGCGACAGTGGACACCTAAGGAGGATGTTAATCAGTTCGTGGTTAAATACTTCCAAGGACCCGGTGGTGAGTAATGAGCAGAAGTTTGGACCATTTTGGAAGAGTATCGAAACATATTTCAACGGCACCCTCAAGCTTAGTGGAGAGAATGCTAGATCCCCGAGTCAGTGCAAGCAAAGATGGGGTCGTCTGAACGATCAAGTTTGCAAGTATGTGGGCTGTTTCGAGGCTGCAAAGACACAGCAAACTAGCGGCCAAAACGAGAACGACCTGATGAACGCAGCTGGAGAGATTTTCTACAACGACTATGGCGTTAAATTCACTCTTGACCACGCATGGAGAGAGCTCAGACACGACCAGAAGTGGTGTGCGACCACAGCTAACAAAGAAGGAGACAAGGGCAAACGCAGAAAGCTAGAGGCCTCTACATGTCAGTCATCCAGCTTTAATGATGACGGCGCCAACGACGATGTGTCCCAGCCACGTCAGATCGGTGTTAAGGCTGCGAAGAAAGCAGCTGCGTCCAAGAAGAAAGGAGTCCACAATACGACAGAGCAGGCGGCTGAGTGTGTGCAGAGTGTGTGGGAAATAAAACAAAAAGATTTGGAGATGAGAGACAAGCTAATGAACAAGAAACTGCTCGACAAGTTACTAGCTAGAAGCGAATCACTCTCTGACGTAGAAGTGGCCCTGAAAAACCAACTGATTAATGAATTGTTACAATAATGGTTTAGGTTAATATGACTTGTTACAGTTCTCTTTACAGTTTTTACGCTTATATTTTCTTTAAGAAGAAAGGAGGATGCTGAGTAGTTCTCTTTGTTATTATGACTTGATGGCTAATCCTTCTCTTTTCTCGTTTTATGCAGATGGCTTGGATGAGAATATGTGGTCGTTTGAGCTATGAAGCTGCATTATTATGGAAGTCACGGGTTATCTTTCTCTTGTTTTCTTTGATTTGTCATGTACTTTTATCTGTCCACTTTTATTTGTGTCGGTCTGAACTTTTATTTTGTATTCAAGTGTCACGGTTATTGTTGTAGTGGTTGTGGTGGTGTACTTGTGTTTTCTTGTAAACCACAAAAATTATCTTCCTCTTTATAAGATATGTCCTCTTTATAAGACATGTACTCTTTATAAGGAACTTCAACTACCTCTCTTTTTTTTAAGTCCGAAGACTATCGCTTCTTATCTAACCTCTCTTTACTCTATTGAGATACTTCTTTTCTCTCTGCTTCTTTCACGTGTTTCCACAACTCGTTTCCTACTCTTCTCTCATTCAAGCAATGGCATCATCATCAAACACCAATTTCAGTGATGACGATCTTGATGACCGGTTTGATGACGCATTTGACGACATAATGGATCAAGCAATGGATGATCTGTATGACACCATTTTGGAGAAGCAACCACCAAGAAGAGCAAAGAAGAAAAGAGCGTATATAGAAAGAGAGCGCGAAATAGGTCACATGAATCTATGGAATGACTATTTCAGTGAAGATTGTACGTATCCACCGCATATATTCCGTCGCCGCTTCAGAATGAAAAAGCCGTTGTTCATGTATATTGTTGACCGTCTTTCCCAAGTTCCATTCTTTAGAAAAAAAAGAGATGCTGCGGGAAGGTTCGGTCTCTCAGCATTACAGAAGTGCACATCCGCCATTCGTATAATGGCATACGGTTCAGCTTCTGATGCGGTTGACGAGTACCTCCGACTCGGTGAAAGTACTGCACTCTTTTGCTTGGAGAATTTTGTGGAAGCAATAATCAATATATTTGGAGAAGAGTACCTCAGACGACCAACCCCAGAAGATCTTCAACGACTTCTTATTGACGGAGAGCGGCGTGGTTTTCCCGGGATGATTAAAAGCATCGATTGCATGCACTGGGAATGGAAAAATTGCCCAACAGCTTGGAAAGGGCAATATACACGAGGTTCTGGAAAACCTACAATTGTCTTAGAGGCTGTCGCATCACAAGATCTTTGGTTTTGGCATGCCTTTTTTGGACCACCAGGTACTTTAAACGATATCAACGTTCTTGATCGTTCACCTGTTTTCGATGATATTTTACAAGGTCGAGCTCCAAAAGTGAATTTCTGGGTAAACGGGCATCAATACCATTTGGCGTACTACCTAACAGACGGAATATATCCCAAATGGGCAACATTTATCCAATCTATACCGTTACCACAAGGTGAAAAAGCAACAATGTTTGCCACAAAACAAGAATCCGCCAGAAAGACGTTGAGCGTGCTTTTGGAGTCCTGCAAGCTCGTTTTGCCATAATCAAAAATCCAGCTCTCTTTTGGGATAAGGTAAAAATTGGAAAAATAATGAGAGCTTGTATCATCATACACAACATGATAGTAGAAGATGAAAGAGCTGGATACACCCAATACGATTTGGATTCTTTCGAACAAGGAGAAAGAACCAAAACTTCACAGGTCGATATGACGTATCAAACGACTATGCCTACTAATGTCACCAATTTGATGGAGAACCGGAAGAAAGTTAAAGATAAAAAAATACATGATCAGCTGCAAAATGATTTGGTAGAGCATATTTGGGAGAAATTTGGCTGATATGTTTATAATATGCTTTCAATGTATGTTAAGCTTTTTTTTAATTATGTAATGCTAATGTTTAAGTTTAATTTTAAATTAATAATTATTTTCGAAATTTTATTAAAAAAAATAATATTATTTTATTCACATGAACCCCAAATGGGAATCACTATTGGAGATGAAAAATTGATAAGGTTCTAATTTTATCATTAATCAAAATTATATTAATAAAAAATTGGTGATGAACGCCAAGTGAATATCACCATTGAGGTTGCTCTGGTGCTAATAATTCTATTCCTACTTCATTTGTCAATTTAACCAAGCTTTCCCTTTTTAGCCTCAACTATAATAACTTCACATCCAGGCTTCCCTCTAACATGAGTAGATTCCACAAGTTGGAGTATTTTGATGTTGGTGCAAACTCATTTCGTGGACCTTTTCCTAAATCTTTGTTTACCATTCCTTCGTTAAAAGAAGTTTATCTAGAAGGAAACCAATTCACGGGACCTATAGATTTTGCGAATACATCTTCATCATCAAAGCTTCAAAATCTATTCCCTTACTCGTAACAGTTTCTATGGCCCGATCCCGGAATCAATATCTAAATTACACAACCTCCTACAGTTACGTCTTAGCAACAACAATCTCACCGGACCAATCCCTAAATCTATATCAAAGTTAGTCAACCTCCGTTATCTTGATATCTCCAACAACAAGTTGGAAGGTGAAGTACCAAGTTGCTTATGGAGATTGACGACAGTGATGCTCTCTCACAATTCTTTCATCAGTTTCGAAAGTTCTTCTCAAGAAACACTGATCCAAGCATTGGATCTGAACTCAAATTCATTTCGAGGACCATTTCCCCATTGGATCTGCAAGCTTAAATGTTTAAACTTTTTGGATTTGTCCAACAATCACTTCACCGGCTCAATTCCTCAATGCTTGAGGAATTCCATTGATTCTTTTACAGACCTGATTCTGCGTAACAATAGCTTCAGTGGAAAATATTCCGGATATATTTGTCAATGCTACAATGTTACGATCATTGGACGTTAGCCGCAACCAGCTTGAAAGAAATCTTCCAAAGTCCTTGATCAACTGCAAAGCTCTACAACTTATGAACGTGGAAAGTAACAAAATCAAGGACAAGTTTCCATCATGGTTGGGATCTCTACCATCATTACATGTTCTCATCGTCAGATCAAACGAGTTCTATGGGCTGTTGTATGATCGCGACGTCTCCGTTGGGTTTCAGAGTTTAAGAGTCATCGATATTTCACAAAATGACTTCACTGGAACTCTCCCAACTCACTATTTCTCCAACTGGCGTGAAATGAGAACATTGACCGAAGAAAATGACCGGTACATGCAAGATTTCGTGAATTATTCGACTATTTATCACTCGATGGAAATAGTGAATAAAGGAGTAGAAATGAGGTTTGATCGGATCCGTAAAGACTTCAGAGCCATTGATTTTTCCGGAAACAAAAATATATGGCAAAATCCCTGAATCCATTGGCTCTTTGAAGGAACTGCTTCTACTCAACTTGTCTGGTAACGCATTCACAAGCGAGATCCCACGATTCTTGGCAAATTTGACAAATCTGGAGACACTAGACCTATCGTGTAATAAGTTTACAGGTCAAATCCCTCAAGATCTTGGTAAACTCTCCTTTCTGTCATACATGAACTTCTCCCATAACCTTCTCCAAGGTCCAGTACCACGAGGCACACAGTTTCAAAGGCAAAAATGTTCTTCATTCTTGGACAACTCTAGACTCTATGGTCTCGAAGAAATCTGTGGAGAATCCCATGTGTTGAATCCTACATCACAGCAACCCGAGGGATTGTCAGAGTGGGAGGAACAAATGTTCAACTGGGTAGCAGCTGCAATAGCTTATGTCCCTGGTGTATTCTGCGGATTGGTGATCGGACACATCTTCATGTCGCACAATCATGAGTGGTTCAACGAAAAGTTTGGCCGAAGAAAACTCAGAGTCACCACAACTGGTCGTTAAGCTCAACTCTGTTGCGGTCTCTGTAGTAGGCATATTTGTGAAGCATATGTTTGTCCAACGTTGTGTTCGTGTTTGTTTTTCAGAAGACTCGTTTGTGTTTGTTTGTAGTTCTATTTAATGGGTTTTTGTAATAAACGCTTTCGTCGTATTTAATATCTTGGCTTGAATATGTATAAACGGTACTTACTTAAATCTGGCCATCTACAAGAAGCTACAACGGTGTGAAACTGTTGTAATATATGTATATATATATATATCTGTATATACAAACAGATAATCAATATTACATGTGACAGTCATGTTTCTGTAAAAATTTCAATTCCTCTGAGATCTAAGCCTAAAAAGCTTGAGGCGTTGGATGTCCAGAGAAGCAAATAGACTCTATTTTGCACTTCATCGAACAAGAATCTGAGTCTTGGCAGCGATTCGGGAGCATTTTTTGCGGCCACTTTTGCTGAGACCACAGACGCAGATATCCAGAAGCTCGTAATCTTCTTCCCAGAATAACAGTGACGCCATCTCAGGGTTTGCCAAGAGGAGTTTAGAAGTCAAGAATCCGGCGACTGTCCACGTCTGGTAAAGCCGGGACTGCTTCCCAATGAATTTCCCAGAACGTGTGTCGTAATACTCCGGCCAGCGATCTGCCATGAGTCTCTTCTCAGCCAATGCAAGAGCTTTCTCAGCTAGCTCTGGTCTACCCATCTTCATACATGCTAATGTGAACTGTTATTCAAACACACATAAAAGCCTGTTAGAAACCAGTTGATTTATATAGTCTCCATAACATTATCTGGCTAGTTTGAACCATTTACGCATGTTTGAGATTGTAAATACATTTTGAGTATAAATGTACCTGCCAAAGAAGCGTAGGCCAGGATCCACTGTTGTGATACGACCAAGGTCTGCAACGTTCATCAAAAATGTTTTCAAGGTTAGTTTACTCCAAAAGTAAAATACTCACGAAGGAGAACGTAAATAGTAAGCGAAACTCACGTGTTCTTTGGGTCGCTTCCAGTGATTATACGCCAATCATCGTACTCTAATGCAGGGTAGCAAATCTTAAGAGGCATATTCCCAATAATGTCGTCCCATTTAGCTTCGATTAAGTTCAATATAGCTTCATTCTGCTTTGGTGTACTCAAGGAGGAAACAACAGACCAAAAGTTCCCGAGCGTGAAGAATCTGAAATCCATGTGCGCAGGTTGTAGGTTCCCGAGAAGATACCCACCTTGCTCAGGAATCCAATCCATGAGCCATGGGGGAATTTGCTCAGGATAAATGTTGAACTTGTTAGTGGCATCCGTGGAATACTCTTCTGTCTTGTAACGGTATATCTCATTGATCTTTTTTATATCCACCCAGTAGTACTCTCTGATGTGAAAGGACAAAGCACTTAATCTATTGTTAATGGCTCTTACAAGATTCTTGGAGCTGTCATTAACAGAGAGCATCTCACGAGAGCATCTGAGTGCTGAGTAGAATAACGACTGCAATGCATCAGAGACGAAATCACGGTTAGGTCTCACAAACGTATTGAATCAAGCTGTAAAGAGAAAATCAGACAAAGAATAGGTGTTGAATGTACTTGGATTTCGAGGGGATGGCCATGGATACCCATTCGACGATCAATCATACAGGATCCGTCAGTGACCAGAAGTGTTGGAAACATGTCAAATCCATCTGCTAAACACAAGTTCATGATAAGCTTTATGCCTGTCTGAACATCTATTCTCTCTTGTAATGAGAAATCTCCGGTTATCTTTCCATATGCCCGTAAAAGAATAATCCACCACAAACCTATAGAGGATGAAAGAAACAATCAGCAACAAACTCCCATGGAGAATACAATTCACATAGCTCTCCCACCGAGACTCACAAAGATTAGCCAATCGCAGATATTGACAATTTACAGCCAAAGAGAATCTACTAACCAGAATCCACAGGAGCAACACGACCTATAGCTGATTCGCCAAAATCTGGATCGAGAACCTCTTCTGCTGTGTTCTCATCAAGTGCTACGGTCCTGACTTTGAAACTTGCAGGCATCAAGCCCTGTCCAGGACTGTAACAATCTACCGTTTTCTCCCAGCTCTTAAAGACAAAACAAAGGTTTATCAATAACAAACCAAACCATACATCATCAATAATGAACACCCAATACAACTTGTAACATATAAACTAATTCATTACAATATACTCGAATTCCACTACTCATTTCCTTATACAACCACAACTAGTATACATTGTAAATGTTCAGATTATGTCACTTTTAGCACATCAATGAGTCGATTATGATGACATTTATACCAAATTAGACATCAACCCATGAAACAGAATCACTATACATTCCTTAAATGTTCAGACTTTTTGAGAACATCAATGAGTGACATTCACATTCAAAAATCTCCAATTTAAGATGACATTGATACATACCTGCAACTGTAATGTGTGAAGAAGAAAGTTCCTGACGATATCTCCTTCTCCTTTAAGCAAGAAAGCCAAAGCAGAAGGCACAAAGTCTCTTATAAACACTTGATCATAATTCAAAGGCAACTTATCTCCGGGATCATTCGCCGCCACCGTCCCTACCGGCGAGCCACAATACCTAACAACGGCGTCTTCTAAAATCCTCCACGCTTCCTTCTCAGCCTCACTCTCTTCTCTAACTTCACCACTACGAATCTCGTTGACCTCTACTCTAGAAACTGGTTCGCCTACGGTTTCTTCGTCTTTGTGTATCCTCTCGATGACCAATGGATTCGAATTTAAACTACTCTGAACGTGAATTCTCTCGAAACTCTTGTCACCGGTAATGGTTTCAACCGATGTGGAGAATCCTCTTACCGAGACGCTATTACTTCTCGTTTTCTCGGAAACCCAATTTGGTAAAATCTTCGATTGGCGAAAACACGGAGAAATAAATCTCCGAATGTTGTTGAATATGGTGCGATGGTTCGATGTAGTGCTTGAATAGGGACGAATCAACGCGTTTCGGGATAATACGGGAGGAAGATCCATGGAGAAACTGGAAGACAAGAGATTTCTGTGAAATCGAGAAGGAGGCTTCGTGGAGAACCTGCGGAGTAGATAGCTTGCGCTCATGGTTAGAGCCGGAAAACTGGAATCCGATGAAGAATAAGCAGAGATCAAAGAATGAATCGAGGGAATCTGGGTCTGAGATTCGATCGATTTAGGCTTTAGCGTCGGAGAAGAAGCTATAGAAAGAAGAAGATAATTAGGAAATGAGAATATTCAATTGAAAAAAAAAGACAACATATCCTTCAACCTTGAGCAGGAGGGAAAACCTCTCCTATGAGTTTACCATTATACCCATCCCAATACAGCATAATCTCTATAAATTAATACTCCACTTTATAAATTAATAATTATTATTATCAAATAATAAATTTTGCTAATCTCAAGTCTGGTCAATATAAAAATTTATCAAATTCGATAAAACAATAAGATAATATTTTTTTTGAAACTCTTACATAAATATATAGTCCCAACAAAAACATATTTATAGTAATATACTATACTAAAATATGACTAATATATTTATTTTTATTTAAAATTGAAATTTCATTGGTATTCTTCTTTTTTACTTATTACATATCTATCTCTTATTGTTATTTTTTTATATATATTCAAATTTATAAAGATTTTTTGATGTGATAATTAATTTTCTTATATGTAAATGTTTACAAATGTATTAATATTGTCTTTAATTTCATCTTTTTGATAATAGTCATAGTTTCTTGTAAATTTTGAACTTCTAAACATATATATTTTTAATAGACAAATTGATATACTATTAAAAAATATTTTGTTATGATAATTATGTTTGTTAATCATATTTTCTTAATAGGATATTCACTTATATTCTTAAATACAACATTATTCGAATGAAATTTTTAAAAGATTATAGGTGAAAACCATGTTATCTCTATAAATTAATTATTATTAATTTATAGATAAATTAATATCATAATAAATTAATAAAATTTTAGGGTTCCAACATTATTAATTTATACAGGTTTTCCCTTATGATGTAATCACGTAACACGTTGAAACCAATTATTTAAAAGGGGAAAATCGATAAAGAAACCCTTACTTTTGCACAAAAACATTCTAAACCCCTTATATATTTGTTATGCTAATTAAACTCTCATCTTTGGAAAAATGATGGTCAACTACACAAATTATATCCTATCATATGACCACATATATATACTAAATTAATGCATTTCTAACTACACGAACTATACAATATATATGACGATATATATTAATTAACAAAAATTAGGTGATTAATAGCATAAGCATTTCAGAAGTTGATGGAACAGTATACCGGAGATATTTGAAGATGGCCAGCAAACCACGCGACTGCGGCCAAGCATCCATTCACCACGGTCACGTCACATCCGACCGCGGCTAGCCATCTCCGACTTAAGAAGCTCATTACTAAAGCCCAAAGTCATTTCCAAGCCTCAATTCCAAAACCCTAGATGCCCTGGAGTATTGAAAACTATAAATACTTGTCATTAATGCCGTTTTTAGATATCTCTTGCATACTTTTTACAGAGATAACTTTTCTTAGCCGTTTTCAGCGATTTTGTAGAGAAGATTTCTCAACATTGAGTTCATCAATAGAGAAGCTTTCTTCTACCTCTTTTCTTTACTGTTTTTGATTGCTTTCATTAAAACCAATGATGATGTGGACCTCAGCTATGTCTGTGTAGATCTTGAGTTGGGCATAGGATTCCCGAAAGGGGCTCTCATAATCGATTAAGATATCTAGGTTTTTAGATTTGGAATTTTATTTTATGTTCTTCATTATTTCTTGTTCTTAATGCATGTATGCTTGATTGATCATCTAGCGTCTGATCTAGATAGTTATTGTTGCGAAAGTTTTCATTAAGTATCCGACCTAGAATGAAACGGCCGATTCAACCATATGAATGGAAACCTACCTATCGGGGAGTCGTGAGTATAAATGAGTCCTATACAAGTTCCTGTGTTTTCTCTCTTCCAGGGCCATAGTGGAAACCTACTGGTCAAGGTTGCGAGAGACAGTTGGTTATGATCACGACAGTGACGTAATCATACCGCCATACTCTAGCTCTAAAACCCTAGATATTTCGATATCCACCAATCCCAATATATAGCTTTAGTTGTTGAATCCGATTATGATCCTCATAGAGTTCCCGAAAGTCCAGCGTTTTTAATTATTGTTTACAACCTAATCGATATTTACTTGCTTTCTTAGAGCAGGTCCAGTGAGGGTTCATCCCATTTTTTGGGCTCGAGTTCATAGGCAAAATGGCTTTTAAAAAAAAAAAAAATAAAGCCCATATTTGACGGATCGGTTCATCCGGTTGAACCTGACGACCCGTCTCTTATCCACGTGGCTGAAGGAGATTGGAGAAAAATCGTGGTAATTTTGGGCTCGAGTTCTCTCTTTCTCTTCTCCGACGATTCAAGAAGAATCCGTCGATTCCGTTCAAACCGGAAAATTTTTCCGATGGGTTGGTCATCCTAGGATCACGCTTCCGTCTCATCGTCAAGGTAATCATCTGTTCTTCAATTCTCGCTTTATTGTAAACGATTTCGTTGGATTAGGGTTTTCGTATTTTTGGGGAAAAACTGGAATAAAAGATCGGGGTTTTTTGGGGATTTTGGGTGGATTACGGTTGTTGGTCTCTTATTTGATACCCGGAATCGATTTTCCGTATGGTATTTGACTGATTTGAAAGAAAATTTGAATCGACGAAATTAGGGTTTTCTGAAATTGGAGAAAAAATTTGGGGCTTTCTTTTGGGGTTGCAATTGGGGTTTAAAACATGGTTTTAGTTTCAGTATAGCTCTATTTCGAATTGGATTGCATGGTTGATGATATATGTGATGGATTTGTATGCGATGAAATTAAGGTTTTCTAAAATTGGGGAAAAATATTGGGGCTTTATTTTGGGGTTACAATTGGGGTTTAATACAATGAAATACTTTCGTTTTAACTCTATTACGAATTCGATTGCATGGTTGATGATATAATTGTTCAATTTTTATGCGATGGGTTTAGGGTTTCATCCATTTGCATAATTTGGGTTTAGGTTTACAGGCATTATCGATGATGATTCATATATGTGATATGATTTGCTGTTTCAAATATGTGATATGATTTTATATATGTGATTTGCATCATTCGTGTGTATGTTTTCTGTTTCATATATGTGATATGATTTGATCATCTTGCATTTGCCATTTTCGATGTTAAGTATTTATCGATGATGAACTGAGATGAGATGTTGTAGTTCTTTACATGATCGGTAGTGTATAGTAGTTTATATTATGGATGGTTGTGGTAATGTAGTTATTGATCATGTTCTTTTTTGGACAGATAATGCCATCCTACAGCAGCGATTCATCTGAAGAAGGTGAAGAGGTCCCGTACTGGGATTACTCCGATGCCACTTATGGCATACCGGAGAAGTGCTTCTGTGGTCGTGTTGTGAAGCTCAAAGCAAACGCAGCCGGTCGCAAGTACTATTCTTGCCCGGAATGGATTGACGAGGTTTGTTTTCTGCCTTTGTCATTCATTTATTTCTTTGTTTGAAGTTGAATTTTTTTGTTATTCGTCCTAACTGTTTCTAATGCGTGTAGGGCACTTTTGACCACATTCACCAATGGTGGGATCACGCGGTAACCGAACAATGCACAATCTTTGCGACAAGGATAGAAAAGCAGGAGGAGCTGATCCTCAGTGTTGATCAGGGTAGAGTCAACTCCGTGGATCCATCCTTAGGAGACGTCCGTGAAGAGCTAGCAAGGCTTCAGGGCAAAGTCAGGGTTTTGAAGGAGGAGCTTGGTAATCGAGGTGACACTATCTCGATGCTCTTATTTGTTTGTGTCATTGCAGCTACTGCTTATATCTTTAGGCTTTAGAAATGGCTAGCATTGATTCATTCGTTAATGTTATATTAAGTAGTTAACTTCGGCTCAAGTTATGTAGTGGGGATTAATGGTATCTTGTAATGTTTTTTTGTGAGGAAAATTTGGACTCAGCGGAAACTGAAATGATAGTTGAGGGTATATGGCTCACCGACCGTGTAAAGGTTAGTTCTTTTCTAACTTGAATGTTTGGTAAACTGTTCTTTGTTTGTGTTTAATGCTTACTGTAACTGGCTAGGTTTCTTTTGTTAGCTTTAAGACTGTAGTGTCGTTATCAATGCTTGATCGGACATGTTAGGTTTACGTATTGTGTTAAATGGTAGTAAAAACCTGTTTGACAATGTTTACCAGTTCATCGATAACTTGAAATCTCATTTTAAAAGACTCCCAACTACTATTGTATTTAACATAAAAGACACTTAGCCATAAAGACACATAAAAGACTGTCAACCATAATTTAAAAGACACTCAACAATAAATTTAACTCTCTTTAACTCTCTTTTTCTTACTTAACATCTCTTCTCTCTTTAACTCTCTTTCACACTTAAACCTCTCATCTCTCTGTTCACTTCCTTCTCATCTTCCATTCTCTTTTTTAACCTTTAACTCTCTTTCACTCTCTTCTCTGTTTGTGATCTCTTCTCTCGTTTAACTTGTTCCACTCTTGCACTCTCTTCCTTCTCATCACAGCCACATATATCTCTAACTCTCTTTATGTTATTTTTTTTTTTCAGGTACTGTCACAGCCACTTGGCCACTACAACTTGGCTGTTGATCCGTGAACACATTCACCAATTTTGGAGAGGCCATCAAGCTTTTGTCAGCCTTCTATTGTAACCGCTTATTTTATGTCGTAATATAGACCATATGTTCCCAACTATCATTTTAGCCACATATTTTAACTTTCTGCCGTGTATTTATATGACATAAAACATAAGTATGTTCATTCATAGTTGCAAACTTCGTTCTTTCTCATCTTGCTATCAAAAGTGTTTTTCTTTCTCACCTTGCTATCAAAGTGTTTTTCTTATCACAACCTCTATATCAAACACCATAACGTTCCCAAAAACACAAATCTCTTTATCAAAAACAAAAAACTGTCTAAAAACACCAACCTCTTCAAACTTCATTTCTTGTCACAAACTTTTCATCTCTTTATCTCTTATCACTCTTTTAAAAACACAAAAAAATGGCAGCATCTTCAAGCAATGGATTTGATGATTCATTGGATGATGCATTTGATGATGCACTTGATGATGCATTTGATGAGATGTTCGATCAGAAGTTTG